CACCATGGGTACATGGCGGGGACACAGGGGGACACCATGAGGACACCACGGGGACACGTGGGGACACAGGGGGACACCGTGGGGACACCATGGGGACACAGGGGGACACCGTGGGGACACGGCGGGGACACAGGCACCAGGGGCTTGGGGACACGGAGGTGCCGTGTGGGACAATCTGCAGGGACATGGGCATCTCCCCAGCTTGGGGACACTGTGGGGACAGCCCACATGGACACGGACGTCTCCCCAGCTACGGGGATGCCACACACACGTAGACACGGGTGGGAAAGAAGGGGCGCAGGGCCGTGGGTACCCCAACACTGATGGGTGCAGTTGGGTGCCCCAGGATGGGGCCTGGACACCCCAACATTGATGGGCGCCCATGAGCGACTGGATGCCCCAATGTTGATGGGTGCTGAGATGCTGATGGGTGCTCCGGAGCCCTTGGGTGCCCATGAGCAGTTGGACACCCCAGTGTTGATGGGTGTCCACATGTTGGTGGGTGCTCTGAAGCTCTTGGGTGCCCATGAGCAGCTGGAGGCCCCAATGTTGACGGGCACCCATGAGCAGTTGGATGCTCCAGTGTTGATGGGTGCACATGAGCAATTGGACACCCCAATGTTGACGGGTGCCCATGAGCAGCTGGACGCCCCAGTGTTGATGGGTGCCCATGTGTTGCTGAGTGCTCCAGAGTTCTTGGTGCCCATGAGCCCCTGGATGCCCCAGTGTTGATGGGCACCCATGAGCAGTTGGCAGCCCCAATGTTGACGGGTGCCCATGGGCAGCTGGAGGCTCCAATGTCGATGGGTGCCCTTGAGTTGGTGGGTGCTCCAGAGCTGCTGGGTGCCCATGAGCAGTTGGAGGCCCCAGTGTTGATGGGTGCTGAGATGCTGATGGGTGCTCCAGAGCTCTTGGATGCCCATGAGTTGTTGGACACCCCAGTGTTGATGGGTGCCCATGAGCACCTGGACACCCCAACGTTGACGGGTGCCCATGAGCACCCGGATGCCCCGATGTTGCTGGGTGCCCATGAGCAGTTGGACAGCCCAGTGTTGATGGGTGCCCACATGTTGGTGGGTGCTCCAGAGCTCTTGGTGCCCATGAGCACCTGGACGCCCCGATGTTGCTGGGTGCCCATGAGCACCTGGACATCCCAGTGTTGATGGGTGCCCATGAGCACCCGGATGCCCCAACGTTGACGGGTGCCCATGAGCACCCGGACGCCCCAGTGTTGCCGGGAGGCCCCGGTGCCGGCGGGCGCCGCGGGCGCTGCGCCGTTCCGCAGGGGCGTGTGCACCCAGGCCCCCTGCTACTGCATCATCATGGAGTTCTGCGCCCAGGGGCAGCTCTACGAGGTGCTGCGCGCCGGCCGCAAGGTCACCCCCTCGCTCCTCGTCGACTGGTCCATGGGCATCGCGGGCGGCATGAACTACCTGCACCTGCACAAGATCATCCACCGCGACCTCAAGTCGCCCAAGTGAGCGGGTGGGCGGCGCGGGGCACCCATGGGTGCAGGGCCGGGGCTGGAAGGTCCTCAGGTGGCTCCTTGGGGCTCTGGGTGGAGGTGGTGGCCCGTATGGTGCCCATGGTGGTGGCAATGCGATGCCTATGATGGTGCTGTACCCATAGTGGTGTGGTGTCCACCATGGGCATGCAACCACAGTGGCATTGCCATGCCCATGATGGTGCCATGTCCATGAGGGTGGCCCATGACGGAACCACACTCATGGCAGTGCTGTGCCCACCAGGATTGGGTACCCATGGTGGCGCCGTGTCCATGACAATGCCCATGGTGATGGTCATGGTGGTGCCGTGCCCATGGTGACGCCCACAGTGGTCCCATACCCGTGGTGGTGCCATGTCCATGGTGGTGCCCATGGTGGTGGCAATGCGATGCCTATGATGGTGCTGTACCCATAGTGGTGTGGTGTCCACCATGGTGGTGGCATACCCATGGTGGTGCTGGTGGCATTGCCTGCCCATGATGGTGCCATGTCCATGAGGGTGGCCCATGACAGAACCAAACTCATGGCAGTGCTGTGCCCACCAGGATTGGGTACCCATGGTGGCGCCATGTCCTTGGTGGCACCATGTCTATGGTGATGCCTGGTGATGGTCATGGTCATGCCATGTCCATGGTGGTGCCCATGCTGATGGTCGTGGTGGTGTCATGCCCACGGTGATGCCCACAGTGGTCCCATACCTGCGGTGGTGCCATGTCCATGGTGATGGTCATGGTGGTACATGTCCATGGCTGTGCCATGCCCATGGCAGTGCTGTGGTCATGGCAGTCACATGTCCATGATGGTGCCATGCCCATGGTACTGCCATGCCCACTGTGGCTGTGTCCCCGTGGTGATGCCATGTCCATGGTGGTGCCCGTGGTGATGGTCATGGTGGTGCTATGCCCATCGTGACGCCCACAGTAGTCCCATACCCATGATGGTGCCATGTCCATGAGGGCAGCCCATGACAGAACCAAACTCATGGCAGTGCTGTGCCCACCAGGATTGGGTACCCATGGTGGCGCCATGTCCTTGGTGGCACCATGTCTATGGTGATGCCCATGGTGATGGTCGTGGTGATGGTCGTGGTGGTGCCATGTCCATGGTGACACCCACAGTCGTCCCATACCTGTGGTGGTGCCATGTCCTTGGTGGCACCATGTCTATGGTGATGGCCATGGTGATGGTCATCATGGTGTCCGTGGTGATGGTCATGGTGGTGCCATGTCCATGGTGACGCTCACAGTGGTCCCATACCCATGGTGGTGCCATGTCCTTGGTGGCACCATGTCTATGGTGATGGCCATGGTGATGGTCATCATGGTGTCCGTGGTGATGGTCATGGTGGTGCCATGTCCATGGTGACGCTCACAGTGGTCCCATACCCATGGTGGTGCCATGTCCTTGGTGGCACCATGTCTATGGTGATGGCCATGGTGATGGTCATCATGGTGTCCGTGGTGATGGTCATGGTGGTGCCATGTCCATGGTGACGCTCACAGTGGTCCCATACCCATGGTGGTGCCATGTCCTTGGTGGCACCATGTCTATGGTGATGCCCATGGCGATGGTCTTCGTGGTGCCCGTGGTGATGGTCGTGGTGGTGCCATGCCCATGGTGATGCCCACAGTGGTCCCATACCCGTGCTGGTGCCATGTCCTTGGTGGCACCATGTCTATGGTGATGGCCATGGTGATGGTCATCATGGTGTCCGTGGTGATGGTCATGGTGGTGCCATGCCCATGGTGATGCCCACAGTGGTCCCATACCCGTGCTGGTGCCATGTCCTTGGTGGCACCATGTCTATGGTGATGGTCATGGTGGTGCCCATGGTGATGGTCATGGTGGTGCTATGCCCATCGTGACGCCCACAGTGGTCCCATACCCACGATGGTGCCATGTCCATGGTGATGCCATGGAGGTAGTGGTGCCGCCATGCCCGCCGTGGCCGTGTCCCCATGGTGGTGCCATGTCCATGATGGTGCCATGTCCATGGTGATGCTGTGGAGGTGGTAGTGCCACCATGCCCACCGTGGCCGCGTCCCCATGATGGTGCCATGTCCATGGTGATGCTGTGGAGGTGGTGGTGCCACCATGCCCACCGTGGCCGCATCCCCGTGCTGGTAGCATCACCATGACCGCGGTGTGGCACTGAGCCGGTGTCCCCGTGCCAGCATGCTCATCACCTACGACGACGTGGTGAAGATCTCGGACTTCGGCACCTCCAAGGAGCTCATCGACAAGAGCACCAAGATGTCCTTCGCGGGCACCGTGGCCTGGATGGCCCCCGAGGTCATCCGCAATGAGCCCGTCTCCGAGAAGGTCGACATCTGGTGAGGCCACCGGCCTTGGGGACCCTGGGGACCTTGGGGACAGGGGGGTCTTTGCTGCCACCAGTGACGTGGGGACACGGTGCCGTGGAGGGACACGGGGCAGGACAGCAGGGACATGGGGACATGAGGGACCTTTGGGAGACAGAGGCAATGGGGACATCAGGGACATTGGGAGGGAACAGAGATGGGGACATTGGAGATATGGTGGGGGGGGTCATTGCATGGATGAGGGGCATGAGGGGACATCAGGGACACAAGCAGGGGACACTGGGGACTCATAGCAGGTCAAGGGACACTGGGGTGGCCTTAGGGGATGCAGGGGAGACCCTGGAGGACCAGGGGGCAGTGGTGGCACCAAGGGGCCACCAGGAGGCCATGAGGGGACACGGGCGGGAGGTGACGGCCACCGCGGGTCCCCAGGTCCTTCGGGGTGGTGCTGTGGGAGCTGCTCACGGGGGAGATCCCCTACAAGGACGTGGACTCGTCGGCCATCATCTGGGGGGTGGGCAGCAACAGCCTCCACCTGCCCGTGCCCTCCGGCTGCCCCGATGGCTTCAAGGTGCTGCTGCGACAGTGCTGGTGAGCGGGGGGACACGGGGGGACACGCGGGGACATGGGGACACCCGCGGGGACGGGGACACGCTCGGGGACACCCGCGGGGATGCGCTTGGGGACATGCGAGGGGACACCCATGGATATCCTGCCCATGGAGGACCCTCTTCCGCTGGGGACGTGTCCATGGGGGCATCTTGACATGCCCATGGGGACATCCTGCCCATAGGGACATCCTGCCCATGGGGGTGGTGTTCATGGGCACATCTTGACCATGGAGGATCCCCCTGATGTGGCGGTCATGACCATGGGGACATCTTGCTCATGGGGACGTCTTGCCCATGGGGACGTCTTGCCCATGGGGACGTCTTGCCCATGGGGACGTCTTGCCCATGGGGACGTCTTGCCCATGGGGACGTCTTGCCCATGGGGACGTCTTGCCCATGGGGACATCCTGCCCATGGGGGTGGTGTTCATGGGCACATCTTGACCATGGAGGATCCCCCTGATGTGGCGGTCATGACCATGGGGACATCTTGCCCATGGGGACATCTTGCCCATGGGGACTTCTTGTCCATGGGGACATCCTGCCCATGGAGGACCCCCTTCCACTGGGGATGTGTCCATGGGGGCATCTTGACCATGGAGGATCACCTTGACTGGGGGGGTCATGAGGATGGGGACGTCTTGTCCATGGGGACTTCCTTCCATGAGGGTGATGTTCATGGGCACATCTTGACCATGGAGGATCCCCCTGACGTGGGGGTCATGACGGTGGGGATGTCTTGCCCATGGGGACGTCTTGTCCATGGGGACATCCTGCCCATGGGGGACCCCCTTCCACTGGGGACGTGCCCATGGGGGCCTCTTGACCATGAAGGATCACCTTGACTGGGGGGTCATGATGATGGGGACGTCTTGCCCATGGGGACGTCTTGCCCATGGGGACATCTTGTCCATGGGGACGTGCCCATGGGGACATCCTGCCCATGGGGACATCTTGGCCATGGAGCATCCCCCTAACGGGGGGCCATGACGATGGGGACGCCTTGCCCATGGGGACGTCCCCGGTGACCCCGGAGGCCCCCAGGCCCCCGCGTCCCCGTTCCCGCGCGCGGTGCCCGTCACCCCGTTCCCGCCGCCCGCAGGAACAGCAAGCCCCGGAACCGGCCCTCCTTCCGCCAGATCCTGCTGCACCTGTTGGCCATGGAGCATCCCCCTAACGGGGGGCCATGACGATGGGGACGCCTTGCCCATGGGGACGTCCCCGGTGACCCCGGAGGCCCCCAGGCCCCCGCGTCCCCGTTCCCGCGCGCGGTGCCCGTCACCCCGTTCCCGCCGCCCGCAGGAACAGCAAGCCCCGGAACCGGCCCTCCTTCCGCCAGATCCTGCTGCACCTGGACATCGCGTCGGCCGACGTCCTCTCCACCCCGCAGGAGACCTACTTCAAATCCCAGGTACCCGGCGCCCGGGACACCGGGACACGGCCGGGGACCCCCAGAACCTGGTGTAGTCCCTTCCCATGATACCCGCTTGTAACCAGGGTGTAGCCGAGTGTAGCTGGTGCCCGGTGTAGCTAGTTCCCATGGTGGCCAGGTCCCGTGGTAGCTGGTTCCCGGTGTGGCTGGTTCCTGGTGTATCCACCGTCCAGTGTAGCTGGTGCCCGGTGTAGCTGTGCCTGTGGTGTCTGGTGCCAGGTGTACACAGCACTGGGTGTACGCAGCACCGGGCGTACGCACCACCAGGTGTATTGGGTGCCCGGGGCAGCTGGTGCTGGGTGTATCCAATAGCCGGTGTAGCTGTGCCCATGGTGCTGGGTGTATGTGATGCCAGGTGTACACGGTGCTGGATATACACAGTGCTGGGTGTACATGATGCTGGGTGTACACGGTGCCGGGTGTACACAGCGCTGGGTGTACACAATGCCGGGTCTACGCAGCACCAGGTGTACACAGTGCCGGGTGTACATGATGCCGGGTGTACACAATGCGGGGTGTACACGATGCCGGGTGTAAGCAGCACCGGGTGTACGCAGCACCGGGGGTACACAGTGC